GAGAAGAAAGGAACTAAAGTAACACCTAACAAACAAACTATTATCAATAATGAACTATGATCGGATTGTTGCGATCGAGATGGAAATAAGAAGAAAGTTCACAATGAATGAAAGTATATTTCTGAGGAAGAGGAAGAAAGAGAATGAAAAGAAAAGAGAAAGATGGAAGAGGTAAAAGGAAAATGATAGTCTTGAAAATTTCAATAGAACTCTTCTTCTAATTATTATTATGCGAAATCCATTCTCTTCATGGTTCATATGATACTATTATCATCTAAACCAATTGAACATACTTTTTTCACGCACAACATTTATTCCTTAATTCTCTCAAAAATTCTTAGCATCACATCTTATATTAATTAGACAACTTTCAGTTGAATTGTTATTATCAAACTTCGATTTAAAAAAAAAGGCTTGAAATAAAGGGATATTGTAGGTTTAGTTGAAATTGAATTCCGATAATGAATTAAATTTAATTTTATGCTAAATGCTAATAGCTGTAAGCAAATGTAACAATTCATTAAGCACAAAGACAAAGATACGATTGAAATGGATTGAAAAATGTCGTATTACTGTATTCATCAAATATATCATTTCCTTCCTTTTAAGTAAATAGAAGAAAGCAGAGGAAGAAGAAGTTGGAATATAAAGCGAAAGAATTTTAAAATTAGAAGAAGAATTTCGAAATGTTTTTAAAGACATTAACTTAAAGAAAATACTAAGACTGAAAACTTTAAACAACAAAATATCATTATTAGCTTTTTTGTTTTTTATGAAGATATTTAAAATTCGTTTTAATTGAACTTAATTAGTATCATTTTAAAACTTAATTAGTGCCATTCTTAATATTTCACTCTTTTTCTAATTCAATAAAAATTCATTTGAAATTGAATGTATTAAAAATCACTTTAATTTTTATAATTTCTCTACTTTCTTCTTCATTTGTTGAAATTTATTTCGCTATTTTCTAGTTGTTAAAAGATTTATAATCAAAATGTCAATGCCAAATTATGTCAATAATTGAAATTATCCAATCAAAAATTATTAACCTTTGACATTTCTGTTATAACTTTTTTTGTACTAACAAGAGATGATATCATTTTAAAATTTATCATATCATTAGAATTAAAATTTGCATACTGATAAGATATATTATAAAAATAAAATAATGAAAAATTGAAGAAAAAGAAAATGAAATGGAAAAATTTACATTTCAAATGAAATTTCAAAGGAAGATATAACACACTACGGAAATATTTAATTTAATACTTAATGTGTGATATTTGTCACCTTGTCGTATCCGTCCTTACTACTAACTATTTTTCCATTTTGTATTATCAACAAATAAATTTGTATTCACATTTTCCATTAATGGAATTTCCATAATTACAATAGCTTTTTAATTATTCGCCTATTGAACTGTTGAAGTCCTTGAAATTTTTGAAATTGTAAAAAAAATTTTTTCCAAAAACTTCAAATCAATGATTCCATTCATTTCGTTCATCATAATTATTCCAAGCATATTTGAATTTTTCCCTAAAACTTTACAATATAGTTGATTTTAAGAAAATGAATCATAGCAATATAATAGGCATTGTTTCATTTTGATTATTACGATTAAACAATTATTCAAATTATTCGATATAAATGATAAGAAAGAAATAGTTAAAATGAAAATGAGGAGGAAAGAGAGAAAACGAATAAACTCTGTCAAATTAACAAATTTATCAACCGTTCTACTATTCCTATTTTTATCAGCATATCATAACTATCATTCTTCTTGAATACAATGATATATTAGGAGATGATAACTTCATTAATAATTATTTCAAAAATTTCTAATTTTTTAAAATAACATTTAAATCACTTTAAATTATTAGTCTGATAAATTTTAGTTGGTACTGTAGTTCTTGAATTATGAAAAGTTTTAATATGCAAATGAATTAATTGAGAAAAATGACAATATTACAAATATCTATAAAGAGGTCATTACATAACTTAGAGTTCATTACATAACTTCACTTATCTCCATGCTGTCAAATGATAAAAATATATTGCATTAAATGACCGAAAATCCTAATGATCTCTACTATTCATTCTCTTTTTACTGTGAAGTGAATTGAATTAAATTGAACTGAATAATCTGTTTTAAAATTAATTTAAATATGATTGAAAAACAAAAGGAGAAAGAAGGTGTCAAAAACTAGCATATCTGATTGATAAATAAGAAATTTTTATACGGTTTATGAAGAATCTTTCATTCATCTCCTCTCTCTCTCTCTCTCTCCTCTTAAATATAAATAAGAATGATAATTCTTTCGAATATTTTATCTTCTTTAACTAATAATTAATTTAACTAAATATTTAATTAGTAATTTGATTAATTAAAGGTTAAATTCAAAACTTGTCAAATATTAACATTTTCAAGCATTAATTATATATTTTCCGAAATCCTGTTTTCCGGAAACTTGCTAAGGATAATGTTTATGTAAGTTAGCAAATAAAAAGCAAACAAATTGAATTGCTTCCATCGTAAATAACACAAATGGTATAAATTAAGATCAAATAAGTGATATTAAAAAAAAGCAATGTTTCAAACTGATAAACCAATCTGAAAATGTTAGAAATATTTTCTTATAACTATTCATTCCTATAACTTCGATAATTTGGCCTTTTATTTGCTCTTATAACTTGGCTAACTCGGCTTTCTATTCATTCATTCCTATAATTTGGCTAACTTGTCTCATTTTATATGTTTCAAATTTCAAACGCTATAGGGAAAAAAAAAGAGTTATCTAATGAAATCGTTAAATACCAACAACAAATCTTCTTCAACGATATAGTCATTAAGTATGTGTTAAAAATTTAATAGGTCAAGATGATACTTGTTTAGTTATAAATTACAATTACAGAAATTGCTTACACAAATATCAATTGTTAACATTTTTAAATAACGCTTTTGATCACTTCAAAAATGTTTATTTTAAAATTTTAATAAAGTTTAGGTTACATTTGAATTACAATTGTTTGCTTATCCATTTTTCTTTCTTTCTATAAAATATGAGATGAATGGTTTAGGAAATGACACAAATCATTGAATAACTTTGACCTTGGACAGGTGATCTCATCATCTTTTTTCCTTTTTCATAATGTAAAACTTCGTTCAACAGTAATTCAGCATTTTTGAATCTTTTTAGAATGATAGGAAATTCATTGAATTAAACGTGAAATTATAACTTTTTGAATAAGTATATTTAATTAGATTATTATGATGTCTACTCTATTTCGATATCAAATAAATCAAAAAATTAAGCGACAATTTGAAATATGCTAAATTTGGGCGTTGATAATTTATCGATAAAAAATAAATACAATTTATACAAATAAATAGTTATGGACAAAAAAAAAATATTTTATAATAAAAGTAAAAAAAGGATAAAAAAAGGATTTTATCAATTGATTTCATTTTATTTGATTGCATTTTCGGAAATTTCTCTAAATACTTTCTTCTATTAATTAATTTACCTGGAAAATTTTCTAGAAAATTAATTAGTTAATAGAGGAAGGTGTTTAAAGCATTTTGAAAAATCACATCGAATTTCAACGAATTAAAAGTTAGAAGCAGTTCAATATATTATGCTGGGAAGAGGATAAATTTACATCAAAAATATCACTTAATGATAACATGGTTCATAAAATAGGATGTGTTTGTTGCATATCGCTTCTCCAAAAAAAAAAAAAAACAATGAGTGGGGGCCAATTTCACCAGAATTGACCGGGAGGTGATTGATTATTATGAAAAGATGAGTACTGGGTAGGTCTGCTACGATTTAGAGATTTCTGCAAGATTTTCATCTTTATGTTTCTTCATTCATCTTTCCTTCCATTTCTGCCTGTACATTAAAATTTCCGGAGAACTTTGTACTGTTCAATGCTTCATTGATGGAATTGAATCTTTCCGAAAACTTAGCCAGATATGTAACTTACCGCTGTTCCTCACTAAAGCTTGGATGTTAGAAAAGGTAAGTTATATCGGTATATCGATAGGTATATATATGTATATATGTGTGCATGACCAGTTTTAGGTCCATTCCAATATATCTTTGAAAAACGTCGGAAAATGTCGGACGATAAGTAGGCTCATGGAAGAGAAATTAAACGGAAACAGTTGAGTTCTTACGTGCGTTTGTAATCTAAAAGGAAGAAAATCTGAAATGATTGGTTTTGTGTTATCATTACGACTATTAATATGCCTAGCATAAAATTTTTTGAGAGGGTACTGCACCTGAGGGAGTGTTGCACTGCACTTTATCCGCTGAACATTGTTCCAAAACTTTTTTCACGATTGTCCTAAAATTCGGAAGAGTCGTATCTGTTCGCATGCTCTTCATTCTCTGACTTCTCTGATAGGATCTCACAACTTTTTTTGTTAGTCTGATTTTACTGTCTCCTAACTCATATATTTTCATTGACGAAAACTTTGTAAAGTAGTCTAAAATTTCACTCTTCGCTCTGATTTACTTCCGTCCTACTCGCTGCTAATGTACTTCTCCTACTTTAATCAATCAGTCCCACATTTTGTAATTACAATGTTCGCTCTAACAACGAGAGGTGACATCAGTGGAACAGTTCATAATATGGCCCGAGGAACTGCTGACCGTTCTCTTTCGTGCTGTTAGTAATTTGTTAATCTCGATTGGACATTCCACTAGTGTTACTTCATAAATTACAACAAGCACATAAAAAATGAGTTATCTTAAAGACGATTTATTTATTGTTCTTTAGTTCATTTAACTTTCAAAATATATATGCGCACTTATCGAACTTGAAAACGCTGCACATCCCTCGCCTGTCGGTTTTTCTGGATAATGTTTTTAATACTATTCACCAGAATATTATATCCGAATACTGCAGCCCATTTTAATAGAAGTAACGGTTTTGTTACTTGGTGCTTTGGTTTGTCCGGTCACAGAAATAACTGCTTGCGTTGCGTGAACTTTATGGCGCGAAAGAAGGAATATGGCGGGATGACCGCTGACTCAAGGAGTACCGCTAGTAGCGGTGGGAAACGTATTTCGAAAAATAATGTATCGAATGATGCACAGTGTAAGATGGACTTAAATCGATTGAATCCAACTTCGAGACGGAAAGAGGTATATTTTTCCATAAGCTAAACCTTGCCGATATTATAACACAATTTATTTAAACCTTCTTGGCTGCTAAAATGGCAGTAGTGCGGTTCTCATCCCATCTTTTTGTTGATTGATTTAATGTAAGGTAAGATTTCAGTTTTCGTTTACGAAAGTAGAAAAGAAGTGGATTTTTCGGTTTTTCAATCGGTATTAGAACTGTTATGCACTGTTGCAGGCTGCATATCCGGAAACAAGCGTACGAAATGTATATGATGTTGCTGACTTGCGCGCACAGCTCGGATCTTTTGGTTTAACTGTTCGAGATATTCCAGGAGATGGAAACTGTCTTTTCAGGTAACTCGTCCGTTTTCCTTGTCTTTTTTATTTAAAACTTGCTAATGCTTAGGAAATGATTAACTTGAACATCTGTCACTGTGGTCTTACTATTTAAAAAATATTTAGTTTCTGGCTGCATTTGCAGTTTTTGCCAAACTGAAGTTTTTCTTTTTTCAGGGCTTTGGGCGACCAACTGGACGGTCACACAGGAAATCACCTAAAGCATCGACTTGACACAGTTCGGTATATGATAAACCATCGAGGTCATTTCGAACCGTTCATCGATGTCCCTTTCGACCGCTATAGTTGGTGTTTTTCGACAACTTTTGAATAAATTTATTTTTCAAAGTTTATGTTTTTCTTGAATGTCGGTTTTTCCTGCTTCATTGGTTCTGCAGTTCAGAATCTACTATAAAACTTTCTTGGCTATCCTGTCAAGTTTTTTAAAATACAATAGTGATCGCCTGTGAAACACAAGTGGGAATGATTTTTTTGCGAATGTTTAAATTTATTTAATGTTCAAATTCTCCGAATTAATTAAATTTTCTAGCCAAAATTGGGGAGCGTTACAGCAATTTATGCAGGCTATCGTTTTATGGCTGATACTTGTTAAATAATGGATAGTTTTAGTATGGGGGCGAAACGAATATAATGGTGTATTTTGATATTCCAGAAAATCTGTTAAAAAATGGAATTGATGTCAGACATTTGATTTTTTGTATATTAATTATTATTTGCATTGTGTTTTACAGTAAATGATTTGAGTCATCCCGGTACTTACGCCGGCCAGGATGCACTTGTGGCGTTTGCACGTTTGCACGAAGTAAACATCATTATACACCAACTGAATAGACCACTATGGAAGATTCAGGGCTCTGAAGATAGCAATGCTCCTGAACTTCATCTTTCATATCACAATGGTGAGCATTATTCGAGCGTTCGTCGTTTCGGTGATATCGCCAATACTCCTGCTGGAATACGCATTATGGTATTAAGTTATTATTTTTAGAACAAAATTCATTTAATTTGTACCGATTCGAGTTTTTTATTAACCATAACTATCTTTCTGAGAGCTTGTCGCAACAAACGCAAAGAAAAAAGTTGTAAAGTTCTAAAGAAAATAATTCACCATTATTGAAATGTATAGAGAGGTTTACTACTGCAAATACACCGTTGTTAAGCAGCAGTTAACAATTTTGAAAATTAGGATTTCAAAATTCGTAACACTATACAAAATATGTAAAATTTATACATATATATTTTATTTTACTTAATGAAATTTGAAGTTTAGACTTCATTATCTTCCTTAGCACTATGTGGTACATGTTCCAGAGCGCTGGAAACTTTTTGTACACTTACCACAGGCTAAGGAATCACTGTTCAAAAATACGAACACATAGTTGCTTTTGCCTATCGCAGAAGTACTGTGTGATGCAGTCGTAAACTTGGTTAATGTGAAAATATATGCAGTGATCTATAAAAGTGATGCTTATACCAATTTTATGTTTGTAAACTGAACTAAGAAAAAAAGAGTGATTAAATTTCTCAAACTATAGTGTTAGGAAGTATTATTTATCAAGTATAAAAAAAGTCTAATTTTTCAGGCTCCAACTGCTGTTCCATGTTGTGCATCGCACAGTGTCTACACATCCTCGAAACCCATCACCTCACATGCGAATTCTGGCAATTTGCAACAGTCTGCAGCAAATTTGTGTAGACACAGTGTAGATGCTTCAAATGAAGGAGCTGTTCATACGTATTTATATGAAGAAGACGAATTCACTACTTTGGTTCATGAAGTACATTTCATTACTTTTAGAAGAGCTCCTTTCTTGTTTAATTTCGTTAGCACACATCATCTACATTTTATATGGGATTGCAATACAAGCAGAGTATTATGCATAAAATGTTAATACAATCTAAGAAAAAACAAAAATTGGTTGTTTAATTTTATATTTTGTTTAAATCTGCACTTACTTTACCAGTGTATATTCTAAAATTCTATTCAGTTTTTGCTTTATAAGGATGATATTTAGTTCTATCGGAGCCTCTGTATTACTACTCTTTATTTCATGTTTATTTCAGGTGATGAATCGTACTGGGTGCCATGATGCTAGTTTGGCTACAGAGGCTCTGATAGAAAATTCGGGAGATTTAGATCAAGCCGTTGATTACATACTGTCGGTTGGATTATTTGTTGCCTCTGGCAATGATGAAAATCTTTCCAAAGGGATAAACAAAAATGATATGGAAATGACAGGTAAATCCCATTACTTTTTATGTTTGATTCGGGCTGTTTTCCTTATAATTTCCTTATAATCGAACACCAGTGAGCGTTGAGATTGAAATAAGATTAACAAGCTGCTTTTGATTCGCAAAATGTAGCGCAGCATATTTCTGTAGTTTTTATTCAAAATCTATCAAACTGGTTAAGGTAAACAACTCAAGCAATGTTAATATATTAATATATCTTTAGGAAACATTTCTGAAGTTTTTTTTTGAAAAAAACTCTTACTTTATGAATTGTTTCTCTGTGTGGTGATATAAGAATTTGACATGTTACTACTGTCGTTGTCCTCTCAATTTTAGAACAGAATAGCTCTTTTTTCATTTTAGAACACAGAATATTGAAAGGCCGAAATGCTGATGATGTTAGCAGGCATCATACTTTACCAGCTTGTCCAAGTCGTAATGATATTGAGGTATTTTTCGTTATTTCCTGTGCTAGTGGGAATCTTTGGATTATTTCTGTTTGTAAGAAGGAGCATTGTAAGTTACAGAACCTAAATGCACACTTCTTATTTGATGTGAACTTTTTCGAATAAATTAAACCAGTGAAGTTGATGGCCAGACTTGACGTATTTAACGTGTCAACAATGGCTTGGAGTATCCAAATTTTGTTTTTAACAACTTAAGAGATGGGAAGGAGGGTGCAGGAAATAATATTGGCAGAAATAATATATACCGAAAACCGATTTTAAGGTTGAATCATAATACCTCTGCATTTTGTTGTCTTGAGGTTGAAATAGCAGGCACTGAAATTTACGATTTCTAGCACCATTTATCACTTTTCTCGGAGTGAGGGGACGGTATTTTTGTCGTTCGGAGGCAAATCAGTTAGTCCACATTGAAAAAAGCTTGAGGTATTTCATAACCCGTGAATGTTTTAGCAAGAGGAGAAACGAGAGCGGAAACAAGGTGCTGATAATATATCGGAGGAGCATCTAAACAAGCAAGGTGGTCTTCATTTCTTGACATTATAATTAAAATATTTATGGTGCAATAAGAGTATTTCGCCGTTCATTCTTTCAGCGTGCTTTCTCTAGGTGGTTTATCACAATTTTTGATGGGTTTAATGAAAAATTTTCAGTTTCATGTGGGATCAACTGCATTTCATTATGATATTACGGTTATTGTATGTACTATTGTTGTAAGATTTTTTTGTTTGATAATGAATATTTGAGAGCTCAGCTTGGTGGTCTTGCTTAACTCATGCTTAAGCTCAGCATTCAGTCTTGGAAGCAAAAAAGTGAAGTCTGGATCTCCTGCTGTTTATCTTTCTATTATCTTTACAATAATTACACCAATTTCTAGCCTTTTCTCTTTTCCGCCCAAATAGAAAAATTTTAAATAATCGAAAACCTATGGTGCTAGAATTTCGTCGAAGACCAATATTTGATAGAGCCTGGACATTTCAGCGTTAATTCCATTCAACCATGGATGTTCCCAACTGGGAGAACGTTTGTTTTGGTAACTGCTTAAATGATCAAATGTTTCGAACATATTGGTGAGGTTTAGATTTAGTTCAAACTGTATTAGTTATCTGAAAAAATAATGAGGATTTTTTCCACCTCTAATTTGTTTCTTATAACAAGTGGTATCTTAAAAGTATACAAATGGCGGGTAATGACACAAGATTGCTATCATAATGGTTCGTACCTGTCCATAAATGCAGCCTTCTTCTGCATGTTTTTAACCATTTATTGTCACTATCCTAATATTTCCCATTTCTTATCAAACTTTAAATGTAATTCTGTGTATTATGCATTAGATGGAACTAATTTTCTTATCCATTTTATATGATACTGCTATTAGAATGTGCGTCGCATGTGAATTTATTATTTCAATGTAATTATTTGTTAATAAATTCTATACAGAGTCGCTCTGATATGTTGCTAATCACTTCATGTTTGAAAAACTGGTATGACGGGAAATGCTGGGAAAAGGTCGAGGTATGGAATTCGATAAGGAAACCGCGATACCTCAGCGTAACGTGCGGGTGAGGTCGTGGAACTTCCTTAAGGATAGATGGTTAACTTGCTCATTGTCAATCACATTACTATATGTCGCTGCTCTTCGGAATACCTTTTGATTGGTGCATCTTGAACATGCAGTGCATGTGTCGCTTGTAGTGCAGTGCATCAACTGTAAATGGGAAAGGGGAGGAGTCTGCGACAACCGCTCGCGTGACTGCAAGCTTCCGCAACGTTAACTTGCATACCCCGCCCTGCGCGCACTGCTCCACCTCCGAAGATTGCTTGCCACTCAGTTGTTGGTTGGATCCATCAGCTGCAATCCGATGAGTTTACTGCCCGCTGTAGTGAGGCGATGGTCGTTGCTTTCCCCCGCACCTACCACCACACCTGTTCCGCCCACGAATGTATGGCATGATGTGCGTATGTGGGTGCGTTCCCTGTACAAAAAGTATTTAGGAATGTTTGTGTTCTGTGTTGTAAAGGCATGTGCGTGCACTTGTGCGTGCGTGCGTGCGCGTGCATATGTATGCTCGCCTGTCTGCGTGTCTATCTTAACCAGAGCACATACGCCTGTCGTATTCCGGAGTGCCAGTGCTGTAGAATATCGATGCGGTAGCGCTCAACTCCACTCCATCCCATTCCACCCATCACTCACTCTGTCTCTCTGTGCAACGAACCGCTCGCGAGACGCGTCGTCTCCTCTTTTCGATCCATTTCTATTCTACTAGCAAGGATTATCGACTATGTTGGGCCGTGATTTGTTTGAATGTCGGCCAGGGTTTCCTTCTTTTCCACTTCGCGCTCTGGAACTCTACATGTATCCCTGGTAGTTAACTGAGGCTCATCGCGCGAATTACCTGACGAAACGTTTCCATTTCTTTCCCTCACACATTTTCAACGTATTTGTCACTTCTGAAGTGTCCATTTCAAGTTTGATTGTTAACTTTTAGAATTGTCATTCTGAACACTTTTTCTCTTCTCGTCATTCGTCTGCCGGCATTTCAAGTTATGTTTTCATCAAGAATGTAAACATACAGGTGAGGGCGCTTTAGATGTATCATGTATGATGGTTTTGTTTCGAGGCGTATGCTAGCATTCCTCACTAGGTCTTCCTTTATGATCACTGCAATCGTGTTAGTGAAGTACTATAGTAAAAGAACTGTAATAAAAACAAGATATGAAATAAGTTAGACCGACTTATGAAATGTGAAATTCCCGCGAGTTAACCAAGGCAGGCAGTCATTTGAGCGTGCTTGTTTCGTTCATTCACTTACATTAGCTCATGGGGTACAGCACCTGTTGATGGATGCACACTTCATCTGACTTGATTATTTTCCATCAAGTATGCCAAGGGTGGTACTGAATTTGTGTTAATATTTTTCACATATCTCTTGCCAATGTTTAAAAAAATTGTTGCATCTTTGCTGCATTTATTCCCACAAATGTACGCATTAACAATTTCTTCTACTTGCGTTACTAACGTTTTAATCTTTCTGAAGCATAGCTGTTCATCTTGCAAGTAGCTAGCAAATAAAAATGTTTTAGTTTGTTTTAACCACTGCTAAATTTCAAATTTGCGTAGAAATGCCTTAATTTGTTTTCACTATTACTGATTTCAATTAGTATGATGAACTGCGTACAAGTAGGTGTTTCTGAACTGCAGTTTCTCCACTTACACTTTCAATTTCAGCTTAGTTATCATCTCGGCGCCATTTCGTCTTTTTTCTTGAGCATTTTGTTTATGATAGGAAGTGTGGCAGGTTATTATTGGCAAGATTTGTGGCATCAGGTAGTCAGGCTGAAATCAGAGCTAAAATTAGATCTGTGTCCGGCATATTCTTTCCATTTCCTTATTGTCACTCGGAGCTTATTCCTTCGCCATTGCTTTGTTCCTCGTTATGGTTCCCACATTCTATTAGCCGTTTTCTTTTGCAATCATATTCCACTAACTTTTTCAAATATCATCACATCATCTCCTTATAATTATTTATGTCAACGAAATTCGTTCAGAGTTCACTTCATATGTAATACTTTTCTTGCATACAGAAATTGAGTTCTTGTTGTCGAAGGTATGTGTAAAACTTTCAAGAAATCAAAGAAGCGAAAATACGTGTATAACAGCTGAGGTATTGCGAAGATGATAGGAGGGTACACGTGAGGGTGAACCGGAAAAATGAAAAACCTATTACGCTTCTTTATCGATTGCGCTACCGGATAGGCGTGGTATACTGTAAGTTGTTAGTCATTTTTCGTCTAACTTTCGATTCATCCTTTTCATCTCTTTCCTAATTTTGATTCTGAAAAAGTTGGGATCGCTTGGGACAGAAGCATTCATTGGAGATATCGCTGCGCGGTGGTGGGTACTACCTGATGTATCGGAGGAGGCAGGAGGGGAATTGCTGACTGGGTGGATATGGATTGTTCTGCTGCTGTTGGTGGTAGTGATGATGATGGTGATGATGATAATGATGATGATGATGATGGTAATGATGATGGTTGACGATAACTGATAGGATGCGGGGAGGAGGAGTTAGTGTGATGATGATGATAATGACGTTTGCTCTTCCTTTCTCTGAGTTTATGCTAACTTACCGATCTAAGTGTTGCGTTTTGCAAACAAAGAGGGAGAGAAAGAGAGAAAATGGCTGAAACAGGGCAAATACGGCGCAGAGCGCATGCGTAATGGCAATGACACGCTCGCGAGTCGGTCGGTTCGTGCTCTATTTCTCGGTCTCGGGAAATTTGTTAAGATACTACGATTGCTTAACGTCCTCATCATAGGAAGTGTATAGCTTGTGTAACTTGTATAACCTATGGGTCGAATAATAGCATATGTTTGATAGTAATGGGTTGAGAAGAGTGGTTGTCATCAAGTAGCGGCATAGCAGCGATTCGATATAGTAGTGATAGGAGAAAATTTGGAGAGGCAGTTTGGTGGAGTGAGAGGGAGAGAGTGAGAATAAATGGGAGGTGCGAAATAGGGGAGAAAGCGAAGGTTATGATTTTGGCGGTAGTGTTAAAGATTTTATGGTCATTGCAGCGGAGGGAGGCATTAATATTGGCGAGTTGCCATAAGGGCGAACCGAGTCATTGACGCAAAGCGTCTTTTGCCGTATCTGTGCGAAGATTTAACACAGCTCTTCTAGGTTCTATATTCTGCATTTTAAATGCTGTGTGGTGTGCACATCTAACAATTGGCACAAATAAAACTCGGGCAGCATACGGCGTGCGATCATGTCGTGATTTATATTATTTTCATGCTGCCCAATTCTGCCCAATGCATGTTGACATCTGTGCATGTTTATATAGATGCATATGTTCTATGTGTGTATGTATTCATGTTATGTTCGTGTTTGTTGTATCAAAATTTGAGTACGTGTTGGGATAGATGTAATGACGTACACATCTGCAGTGACAATAGTATGGTGTGCAATGGTATAGATATCGTATCATGTTGTTCGACATTCGTTCAAGTCGCTACTTACTTAGCGTCAGTCGATAATTTTTTAGGAAAATTGATAAAGCGACCGTCAAGCGTGAGATTGCTACGTTTGCTGCGTGACGGATATGCTGCTTCGTGATTTCATTTAACCGTTATTCAATTTGGTGCATAATTTATTGAAGCTATCATTACAGGTTTCCTTTGTAGTTGCGCATTGCTGTAGTAGTATAAGCATTGTGAAAACCCGGATAACAGCAACCAAAAAATGAGTGCAGTTGACGAGCGAGTCGCTGAAAAGAGGAAATTGGAGGAAAAGGATACTGAAAATGGTGTGGCCGCTAAGGGAGCAAAAATTGAAAATGGAGTCGTTACAGTAGGGTTTTTTATAAATTTCGAGTTCTAAATTTTGGCATTAGTGCTCTCACTGCTTTTCATTCAGTGACATCTACTAAATATTGGTTGATTTCACTACAGGAGGGTTCTATTAGGGCTTTATTCATCATTGTAACAGCAGTCACCGAAATGAAGTTATGAGAAATGAATAATGTGATATAAGCAAGGGAATTTCTAGAATACGAAACTGAAGGGACTTCAGTAGTTTCGAGAAACAAAAACAATACTTCATTACATTTCACTTTTGTGTCTTTTTCTTTATTTTGTGGTTATGTCTGACAAAACTGTTAGCACTATTTCCAGGCAGCTGGTGATGCTCAAGTTAGAGATCTGAGACCAGACAAGAATGCTTCCCTGAAAGGTTTTTTTGTTTTATTGTTTTTTGCTTTTGGATCAGTCACTCTACTCTACGCGATTTTGTGATCTGAGCGTGTAAGGAATAGGGAATTATGAGGATTAAAATACAGTACTTTGTTGAAGAAAGTTGAAAATTGGAGATTATCTCAGCGGGAATTGTTATTGAAGGCATATGACATGTGCTACATTGTGTAAACGATTAGCATGCTCTATTCCGATAGCGAAGGTTCAATTAAATGGAAAATTTTAACTTTTCAGAAAATAAAGAAAAAACAATTAATGAAAATCATGATGGTGAACGCGAAGAAGATGGTGAGGAAGCAGCAGATGGAGAAGAGGGTATCGAAGAATCGAGCGGTGGTGAAGATGACGAAAGTTTAGGCGATGAGGAAGATGGAGGTAGCGAAGACGATGAAGCGAGCATTGGATCCGAGGAAAGTGATGGCCAAGGTGATGGTGAAGGGGGTGATTTTGGGGATGATGACGATGTGGAGGGAGAAGAAGGTGGTGAAAGCGAAGAGTAATGATTATAGTGATGTTAATGCCTACTACAAATTCTATTTGCCGTTCTTTGTCGTCCGTTTGTTAATCCTGATCTTACAGTTTACGGAAGGGCCGTTTTGTTTGCAGGGTGCCAGGGTGTGGAATGATAATAAGTTTTCAGGAATCTTTTCTGCGCATTATGATTTTTTGTGGAAGAGGAAGCAATTTTTGTTTAGTAGAATTAGGAACTTCTTCAACTTTGTGCTTTTATCATTCCACAAGTTGGTTTCCATGTGTTGTGAATTGGTCCTTCTAAACAGTTCTCTTTGAGGAAATTTTAGCTGTTATAGTTTCGTTTTTTTATTTATGGTGGTGTTTGTTATAAAAATTTATTAAAATATCTCAAAATTCGTCTCTCACTTGAAAAAAGTGATAAGGTAAAACTTTTGAACTTCCCAGCTTTAGCTGCATTTCCTCATAAAAGTACAGAGACTGGGAATTTCGTTTTATTTTAAAGAAATTGTTGTTATTACGTTGTTTCTTTTTCTCTGGTTTATTTTCCCATTTATATGTTTAGATAAAATGTTGTTGGCACTCTTATTTTTTTCTTCATTTCCTTCTCTTCCATTTCTTTTTAGTCAAGAAATTGTCTTACGAGAAAAATCACACTTGTTTATTCATCTGTTCTTAATTATATTTATATAATTCTTGTACTTCTTGCCCTCCATTGGTGGAAGGTACAGTACATCACGCACAGTAGTGTTATGCGCTTAATTAGTTCAGGAAGGAATTTGCATGCTCGTGGAATTCGAACTTTGTTTGGATTCCGTCTTTTCTTTATACCAGCTGGCAGCAATCATTTTTTGTTTGCACCGTTCGTTATATATATATATATGCGGTTAATAGCACACACACGCAACAGCAGCAGAGATGGCTTTGTTGTGTCTTAATGTATCTTCACGGTTTCTCCTCTATTTTGGGATAATTCCGGAATAACTTTGGTTTATCGTGCGCACATAAGGATTAGCGCCATTGTTTGTTGATACGGTCATGATGATTTATTATTCATATAATGTCAAAGAATGTTTTAGTTTTGCAGGCATTACTTCGCTCTATTTTATATGTGTGTGTGTGCGTGTCCGTTTTGTTCAGAGTATTAAAAATAACCTCATTCTTTGGTAACAAATAGTAATCGGATTGCATTACATTTCAAATCGCTTTTCGGTTGCTGGGAAAGCGTGTCGGTTATCTACATGAGAATTCTATTTATCAGGGATTCGGAATGCCTTGCAATCTTGGGATGGTTTTTAGTTCATGCGGTCTTTGAGGGTTAATTTTTACGGTACAAGAAATTTTGGAGAGGAATAAATGTTCGTCCATCCACGGGATAAATTTAGGGAATTTATAGTTACGAAACGGTAGATGTTTGGAGATAAATGGTAAATCTAGTTCCCGAATTTGAAGAATTAGTCGTTTCTTTAGATTTTCCTCAGGTTTGTTAGCAGTTTGAGAAGGATGTCTATGCGTTGGTGTTGAGAATTTTAGAAGATGCAGGTTTTGAAAACTTAAAATGTGGTTTGGACACTTCTAAGCGATTACGTGCACTTCGAATACAATTATTACAACTGTTACGTGCAATTCGAATACAACTATTGCAACTATTACGTACGCTTCGAGTCATTCGTCGTTATTGGTTCCTGACGGAGATGCGAACATATTAATGGAAAACAATGATAAACCAATGATTAGACTTGATTCTTATCCAAATTTCTAGATAAAAAAGATAATAGTTACTTTCATTGGAGGTACAGACGTGAACATTGACATACAAGAATCCGATACAGTAGCCTCTTGAATTCTCTAAAACTATCTAAAATGGTAGAAATTCTGCGATGTGAACATGAGAAGCATTTCTGCAATATTATCATTCTTCATGATATTACTAAGGAAATGTTACAATTGATTATTCTACAGCAGTTAAATTGCTGATGATTTCTTCTCTACTTTAATTTAGCGCTTCCTGACGTTAAAGATCTATCGTTAAATTATCATATATAATTGAAGAGCATTGAACAAGTAAATATATTCATGGTGATTGTCGTATGCAACAGAATTTTACAGATATAATGAAATTGATCGAGTATGACAAATCAATCAATCAGTTATTCCTCAACACTAATTTTTCCCCATTTGTAATTCTTTTTGATAATCGGGATCGTCTATTTGCAATTTTCCTTTTTTTATATCATTTATATTTCTTATATAGGATAAAAACGGAAACTATCATATTAACATATTTAATATCAATGAAATATGAAGTAGGCGTAATTCTATCAATAAATTATTCATTGCTTGATGAACAGTAGTATCATATAGAACAACAAATACTGGGAGAAAACAAGAAAAAAGGAAGAGAGAAACTTTTGCATATCGTCTTTGGGTCTACTTTTATATTTTTAAATTTTAACTTTATAACTTCATCTAAATTAAATTAAGAACATTCATCATCATTGCGGACAAAAGATAAAAAGATATGATAACATGCAAATTGTCAGTCGATTGTTTTAGTACGATTCATCTATATTTTGCAATATTCCTACATTTTCAAAGTTTACATGATAGTAAATAATTAAGATATGCTAGTAGTCAGCTGATCGGATATGCCATACATCATATTATATGTTTGTTTAATTAAGACATTTTCATTTATTACTTTACTTACCTGTTATTCATTCGGCGATTTTATTCTTTCAGCAATCAAACATTGTTCCTCATTATCTATCAGTACGATATCTTTTTTTGTTTGCTTAATTATCTGAAAACAAGAAAAAGATTTTTTAACACCTTAAATATTACTTAACAATTCTTTAACTAATGTTTGATTACTTAGAAACTTATGCGTCAGCGCATTTATTCATCATCAAATTACCGTCTCATAAATAACTGTAAATAATGTTATTATCAAATTGTATGTAATATAAGCCTGATTAGTAAATAATTTAATTGAAGAAGGATTTGATCAAAAACAACAATTCCCTATTAAGAAGAAAAAAAAGGAAAATCATTCAACGATGATACATTTCTGCATGATTGAATAAAACTCTTTCAGTATTCATCAATTTGTAAGCAAAAATTTCGTTGCATTCTTATCCGATCGCAGTATATCATTGCAATATATCTGTTTAATTAATTCTAAACAAAAACAAAAAACATCGATTAAATTAGTTCTCACAAAACTGTTCACTATTTAATTATTTGTTAATTAGAAAGAATTCTGATAAGAAAAACATTTCGAATTGATCAAAAAGGAAAAATGTTTCATTTTAGTCTTACCCATTCATATTCTTTCCTTTTCTCTTACTGAAATAATCGATCTGATCAGTACCTTTTTTTATTTGTGTCATTTGATTTTTTCATTATTACATTTATTAGAAGAATTTTGAAATGATAAGAGTAATTGATACAATTCAACGATATTTGATAAGTGTTAATGATAAATGATAGAATGAATGAGATAGTAATAATATTTAAAATACAATGCGTTGTATATTTTTGAAAAAATCATTTATTGAAAATTTATGTGATGAAATGTGATGATATGAAAATGAGTGATATATTTTCAGATCAGTCAAATGATATCAAATAATAGGCAAAATGAAAATTAATTTGTTTCCAAGCTTCTTCGCTATTTGTTAATTATGTGAAGCGCTCTTTTATATATTAAAAAATTTCGCATATTTAAATTAGTTTCGAAATTAAATAACAATTTATATTATCTTATTACTATTTTGGACTTTACTAGAGGATATTATTACATTCACATCGATCGAATTTAGCATAAAATGAAGTAGCATCTTTTATTAAATGAATTTTGAAATGAAAACTTTCAAATGAATTTAAATAATTATAGACATATTTCAATCTAAGAACTACGATTTGTAATTACTATATTCCATATATCACATTTTCATTTCAATTACTATTTGCAGAAAGATATTATTAATAAGAAAATGACAATTGTCGTAGAAAATAATTACAGTTTAAAAATAAGCTTTCTAATTTATTCGCTTTATTCTTGGGATGGTTTATTCTAATCAAATTACTAGAATAACTAGCTGAACGTGTTCAATGATGATGATATCATTTTATCAGTGATATTATATGGTTGTGATTTCTCACTAGCACATCCAATATGTTACTGTTAAGATTTCGAATTAGACAGAAAATGATAAGAACAATTACTCATTAACAATGTTTCTTTGATAAGTAAAAATGAAATTAAACTAGTATGATTAAATTAATGATTGAATAAATTATGAAATTTAATTAGTAATTAGATTATATACAATTTTAGTTTTATTCTTCTTTAGCAAAATTATCGCATTTTTTCTTAAATGCTAAATATTGATTAATATGCAGCATATCAAACATATTGCAGAGAAAAAAGATTATGAGTGATAAAAATGATAAATGAATGATAAGAAAGATTTGAAGCAAATTAATCCAAATATAACGAAATTTTCGATTGTTTATTAATATGAAACGAATCATTTAAAGGTATAACTTCAGAATTAAATGTCCGATTCAATTTTAACAGTGATAACAAACAATTTCAAAAGCTTTAATTAATATAATTAATTTAAATTGTACTATTATTTTTCACATTTATCATTTTTTTTTGTTTAACGATATAAAATTTAAATATTGTTACATTGTAAAAATAAAATTTAAATATTTGTTACACTGATATTGTGATTTGTAATTTGATATGAAATTTGATATATAAAAGCTTTTCATTTTCGAATTATGCATTTAAACTTCTGCTTAGCATTAAATATTTTTTGATAAGAATAAAATGAATTTATCAGTTCAATAATCATATTCTCATTATCATTTTGTTTTAACTTCTTCCTATTGGATCAACAGCAAATGACAGCTTATGCATTTTAACTTCTGCTTAGCATTAAATATTTTTTTTGATAAGAATAAAATGAATTTATCAGTTCAATAATTATATTCTCACTATCATTTTGTTTGAACTTCTTCCTATTAGATCAACACTAAATGACAGCTTTTTCACTTTTTCTTTCTTTTTCCTACAAATAAAAACAAAAGAAAAACTTTTTTTCCAAACAGTCTAACCAATTAATTTTCCCATTTTTTATCATTTCATTTTTTTTGATGATTGAAAAAGCAAAACGAAAAATTACAACTTTTTTTCAACAAAATCTATAAAAAAACGCTCATTGCTAAGTTGAAATGCTATGAATTATTTTCAACGTTTAAAAATTGTTGCCAACCGAGTTTGTTAATATTTTTTGAAAATTGTTGAAAAATTTTTTGTACAAAAATATTTGAAATAGAAAATTGTTCGTTTTCTATGTGTTTATTATTTTTGGTAGCAAAAGAAATTTGCTAATAAAATAAATTCGATTTTATTAGTAAAATAAAACTAAGAAAGCTAAAGAGAAAAAAAGAAGTAACGTTTATTAAGTTAAAACTAAAATATCTCATAAATTTTCATATGTTCAAATTTAATTTTATTCTATTTGAAAAATTCATTTGCTAAGTTTAGCTTTTACAACATTGTTGTACGTATACACATATAAATATTCTATTCGGATCTATGCGTCAACATTATGTCGTATCATATCCGATCAATTGTTAGGTTAAAACTAAATATCTCATAAATTTTCATATGTTCAAATTTAATTTTATTCTATTTGAAAAATTCATTTGCTAAGTTTAGCTTTTACAACATTGTTGTACGTATACACATATAAATATTCTATTCGGATCTATGCGTCAACATTATATCGCATCGTATCCGATCAATTATTTCCTCTTTTTTTTTTTCCTTTCTTTTCACATTTCTTCTTGCAAAAAAATTTATTAACAAATTAACAAATTTTATGATTGTACTAAAATATTTGAAAGTTTCGAAAAATTGCACTCATAAAATTTACTTTCAATCTTTTTTTCTATTATTTTGTTTTATTTCGTTTACTTTTTCACTCTGCCATTTTGTTAAATATTTTAAAAAATTATTTGAAATAATAATTTTTGAAATTAGCAAAAATTTTTTTGAAGACAAAAATTAAGTTATAAAAGTTTCGGATAGCATTTTGCAACGAATTAAATTAGAAAATTTTAAAACAAAAGAATATAAATTTTTAGCGATTTTTTTTCTTTGTTAAATTAATTAATTTAATTTAATTTTATTTTATCTTACATTTTCCTCATTTCATTCGCTTAAACAAAATTTTGTTAATTTTGTAAATTCTGTATATTTGTTGATAATTTAATTAAAATTTCATGTTTTGTTTTTATCTTTCTAATCTATCAAATGATAATTGAATTTTTCAAAAATTAATTTCTTATATTTACTGAAACATTTCTAAAAGTAATTTCCTATGGAAATATTAGCAATTAGTGCAATTAAGATAAGCGATCATTGTGAATAGCTTCTTAGCATTTCAAAGCAAAATATCCACCCAATCAATTTCTTCAAATTTACCATTCAATATTGCAATATGTGTGTAATTTAAAAATTATCATTCCTCTCTGAGGTTTTCCTTTTTCTTCGTTTATTTTATCACATTTATTATATATACATATCATATCACTATTATTGTTATCAATAATTAATTATAGAATGATTGATTAATGGTTGATGCAATTAGATTATGCGAATGATTATTTTTGTTTGCTTAATTGTTACAACAATCGTTTGGCATGGAAAATGCTTTAGCAATATACCATTAATACCATATAATTTCAAGGTAATCATTTCAAATTATTAATTATTCTATTATTTAATATTCTTAAAAAATTAACAAACTTATGGTTTTTATCAAAATAATTAAAAGAAAATAATGAATAATTAAAGATTGAATTAATTCATACATTCTTATCGAAAATTATTCAAACATAAATAATTATTTCAAAGATTTTAAAATATATTTAAATTTAAAAATGTATAAAATAATTTATGCTTACTTCATTGTATCAGTAATTAATTTTTGAATAAATTAAGCAAAAATATGCAAATTTTTTTTGTTAAATTTAAGAAAAAAAATTTTAAAAGAAAGAAGTAAACAAGAAAGAAGTAAACAAATTAGAAGTAAACATTTTTTGTAAACAAAAGAAAAAAATCAAAAAAATTCTTTCCTTCTTTTTCACAAATTTTACTGTAATATTTTGTTTAGAGATGACTGGAAATATTTTGTTGAAGTCATTTCCTTTCACAATAATTATTATCCGACTTGTTGTTGCTATTGCTATTGCTGTTGTTGTTGTTGTAATAAATTGTTGAGCATCTGTTCCATCTTTTCCAATTTTTTTTAATTCGTTGAAAAGAGTAGTTTAGTTATGCTACCAACCAAGCAACATTAATGAATAATTAATTATTATCTTTTCCTCTGAAAATTTTTATCGTTTACTTAAACATTTAATGTTATACTATTAGAAGATTATATATGGAAATTTTTTTGTTTGAATTTAAACTTTTAATTTTTTGTTTTAATTAATGAAAAAAAAGCAAACGTTTTTATGAAATACTTTAAAATAGTTTTTTAGGAAAAATTTTTTAAAACATTTTCAATTATATTTTGCACATTTAAAATATTTAAATTTAATAAATTTAAAGAAATTGTTTTTATCTTTCGGTAATGATAAGCTATCATCCTTTCAAATATTTCATTATTGTTAGTTTGATAAATTGTTCATATCAAATAGATTATAGTGTTATATATATTGCAAAGAAGAATTATAACTGATAAGACTAATTTGTATATATATATAACTAATTAGACTAATTTGAAGGAATAAAATAGTAAGTTGTAGAATAAAAGGAATAATTATATTTTGAAAGGTTATATATGATGGTGAAATCTGAGAAATGTCATTTGCAAAAAGGAATGATAGTTGATTCTGATCAAATAAATGAAGGTTACCAATGAAAAGAAATCAATAAAGATTGATAAGATTAGTAGGTAGAAATTTCAACAGGTATAAAGGAGAGAGAGAGAGGTAGAAAAAAAGGAAGGTTGATCAGGAAAAGATAAAAAGTAGTTTAATGATAATAATTAAGGATGATGCATTATTTGGAATTTTTAGCTTTATTTCTGTTTCCTTATTTCTTCATTAATTATTGCAAGCATTGATCTTCATTTCTTCATCGATACATTATTTATTAATTAACTGATTAATTATTATACAGTACAACAATATTATTTCTTCATAAATTATTATAGCATAAAAAATACTATCATAATTAATCAAAGTTCAATTAACAAATTTTTAACTTATGCTTTATTGACAGACATCAGGGTTGAAATTGATTGAAGCAGAAGGAAATTTGCTACAGGTAAAACTACTTTTGCACTAAATAGCTGCTAAGGAAGATTAATAATGTGATAAGATTTGATAAGATAATGTGATAAGATAAGATTGCCATTCAGAAAATAGAAATTAGTAGTTTGATGGAAGTATGACAGCAGATAACAACGCACTGATTATAAATGACCACTATAAGATCCATCCAAAATACCGGTCTATAGAGGCCAACTAATAAATCATTTAAATTTTCAGCTTTACTGTCGGAATGGCCAATCGCACATTCCGGAAACTCGAGTTCCCTCTTTGTGTCCGTCATCCAGCACCTCCTGTGGTTATTTCGAATTTGGAAATATATTATTATCGGGAAATAAAGATGAACCATTAGGATTCTATGAATGTATCAATTCAAGCATTCTTATGCCTGATAATAATAATGATGATAAGATAAAACAGGTTTATATATTATATGTATAGTTATCAAAAAAATTTAATTTTTTTAATTTACAAATTTTTATACAACGCAGCATTAAAAAATATAGTAAATTAAAAATTAAAAAACACAAAACTAACAAATTGATACTAATAATTGGAATTAAAATACAACATAGTAACAGATTGGTACTAATAATTGGAATTAAAATATAACATAGTACTACCTATAAACATTATCTTTAATGCAATCATTGAATAATGATAATGATAATAATGATAATCATGATAATTGAAATGTCTACGGCCTTATTTCTTTATTTCAAAAATGTTGTATTTTTTAAACAATACCAATAATTGATTCATATGTTTGAGATAATTATAATCTTTTAATAAAATATAAAGACAATAACGATTAGTATCGTTAGTTTGTATTTTGAAACGATAAACCAAAAAAGTTGAAAAATTAATTGTTTAAAAATTTGTACTTCAAATTAAAATTAATCATTATGATTTTGACTTTCTTATAGAATATTTCTGTATTTCAGAAAAAAAGGAATAATTCTTTATAAAAGTTAAATTTCTGAAATCTTAATTAAAATACAAATTTAATTTCTTACTTAAAATTTACATATCATTCATATAAATACTAAATTTGTTTTAGTTACTATTTTCGAAATATTGCGATGATCAGGCACGTTGTCGAGAAATAATGCTTTCTTCATTCGATCCCAAATTTGTTGAATATTTAATTAAAAGTAATGATGATAGATATTTAAATGAAAGAGATGATGATAAATTACAACGATTATTAACAAGGAGAATAAAATTTTGTTGTGCCATCAATGATTATCTCCTTCAAAAAATTATACATTCCGGTAATTCTATTCTTCGTAAGTTCCTTTTTTTTGTTCTATAATTTTATTTATTTATTTATACTTTTTTAATTTTTAATTACTTTCCTTTTTTAATTAATAAATAGAATAAATAGGATTATTTGGAAATTTTTAAAATTTCAAAAAATTAAAATTTCTATTCATTTCAACAAATTCTTTTATAATTTCTTAAACTATGCTAAATTGCAATGGGCTCAATTTGAATAAAAATTTAATTGATATTATCATCTGTCAGCAATATAAGTTGAGTTTTATTAAATATTAGATGAAAGGAATAATTTATTGCTTGAGAAAAAATAATACTGAACTTTCTTATCTATCCTTATTTACTATTTATAGCTACATTAGCTCCTTCTGAACCAGTCATTTGCAACAATGTTCACTGTCAAGGTTCTCCAATCGGATGTCTCACTTATTCGGAATCCAACCAAACACAACAATTGGTAGAAGAAGAAGAAGATGTTGTCATTGTGCAACCTATGCATATTAATTATGAGGATTATACAGTGATTTCATCTCAAGTATGCATATTTTAAAATTTATTTTAAATGGAAAACAACAATAAACTTTGTAACTTTACTACAGTAACCAATTCTTTAAATGATTTAAATTGAAACTCTTCAAATGATTTAAATTTATTAGTGTATTGATATGATTGTACAATGGTTTACTTCATTTCTATTGCAGGTGATATTTTAATTAATAACAAACAAAAAATTAAATTTGTTTATTTTAGCCAATAAATAATAAGTATATGAGGAAGTATACCATGGAACATCATTGTGTTTATCGTCATTTCAACGATGAAATGTATCGATACTGTTTGCTAATAAATGATCAGCCAACGAACAATAATCATTGCCTTTACGGCGATGGTTATCAGTTATGTTGTTGTTTCCTTCAGAGAGGTTGTATCATTTATTAATTTATAATTTTCAATCATTTCATTCAAATATGTATATTAGTTAAATTTTTGAAATTATATTTATAATTTATTTAAAATAATTAATAAAGAATTCTTCCTAGGAGCTCGAACGTGTGATCCGTTATCAACAGAAGTGATAACAAAGAAATCTATGGAAATTTCTGAAATTGTTCCCAATCAATCGATAACATCTCTTCCAACTTATAATACAAATATAAAAACTAAGCTTCGTATAAGGTTTTCGTATATGTTTAAAAATTAAACTTATCATTCTTTCTTTGCCAGCTAAAATTATAACACAAATTTTAAACTTTTAAAATTAAAACTTAAATATTTTTAAACATTGTTTACAACGTAACATTTGCCAATGCTTATAAACACAATAAATCAAAAAATAGTGAATGATTAGTTAAGTTTGTTAATAGCTTTATCATTTATTCGTAATTATCTAATAACTAAGTATTCAGTAAATATAATGAATTAATCATTCATTAAATAAGTAATTAGAAAATTCTTAAATAATTAGTCATTTAAACAACATTGTAAATTGGGAGAAAATTAAATCAAAATTGTTTACTATTTTATCAATCATAAACGTTGAAAAACAATTTCAACAAGCATTAAACATATTTTCACAAAAATATTTTTAAGAAAACGAGGGAAAAAATAATGTAAATAATTATCAGTTTATATATTACAATATTGATTTTATCAAATTATTTAATAATTAATCAATACTATTTCAGTAATACGCTATTATTATTATTATTATTATTAT